TGTCATACGCGCCGGGGCTGATGGACAAGGTTACTTGGCGCTGCTTTGGCTGACAGTTGATTTTCAACACATCCATATATATCATCTATATGGCTCAGCTTTATTTGCTTTCAAAATACAATATGAAAACTCTTTACACACACACATATGCACATATACACATATATACACACACACACACACACATTAAATACATACGTAATTATAAAACTCACACTACATTATGCAAAAATAATATCCTTCTGCTTCAATATTAATCAGCTGCAATTGTTCCCTAACTTCTGTCCATTCCGTTAGCTTGGCTCAGAGCTGGCTATTGGCCAGGTGATTGTCGATGACCACCTGTATGATGCGCATGCAATCCCTCTGCCTGGCTATGGTGTTGTCTATCAGCTGCTCAATGAACTGGCTGGCCTTGATGTTCGTATTGGGCGGTATGTCCTGGGTGCAGCTGACGTACTTGTTAAAGATCTCCGTGTTCAGGGACGTGGCCAAGTAGCGTTCGCTCTCGTCCTGCTGCAGCAGCTTATTCAGCACCTGTGCGGCGGCCAGCAGCTGGTCCTTGTGCTTCTGGTAGGCGCGCAGTTCCTGCAGATTGCCATAATCCACGCCATTCAGCTGCACGTACCGCTCCCCGTCCTCCCCGGTGGCCTCGCCCGCCTTAATTGACTTTTTTGTCAGCAGCTGGCGTATGTGATACTTGCGCTCCGTCACGAAATTGCCCAGCAAATAGCCTGCGAAGCGAGAACAAACGACTCGTTAGCATGTGCCACGCGGCATATCCGGGATTGCCGCCCACCTGAGATGAGCATGAAGAAGCCAATGGTGAGCAGGAGCGAGGCGCAGGTGCGCTTCGTCACATAATCGCGCGAGCTGCTGTTGGCCCGCACGGCCGTCTCATAGCTGAGCACCTGATGCATGCTGAGCTCCTCCTGCGTAGCTTTCGCCTCTCGGATATCTTAGTTTGCCTTTACTTAGAGCACACTCTTTCTGTGAACCTGTTCAGCTTGTCTTGGCCAAGTCTTCTGGTGGCACATTCTGTCGAGCAAACGAGGCAACTGCAAATAGAAATAGAAAAGGGAACATGAATTCAATGTAAAACTATATCGAAATTTAATGCTAATTAGAATGGCTTTTATGATAATGCCCGCCATTAAATAATAATAATATGCACATCCATTAGCCAGTATGCTATATATATGTATATATGTATATGTATATGTGTACCCCAGAGGACACCAACATAAAATTTCAATATAAATTTTTGTCAATTTCTAAATGAGCAATATGCGGTCAGATATTTGATAAATGATAAAGGGTGTGAGTGCCACGAGAGGAATTCAGTTTAATAAATGGGCAAATTCGCAATTTATACTGTGTTAGGGAAACCTACGCAAACGCAAAAATTTGCAAATTTTGAATAGAGCTTGAAATGAAACTTTTGGCAATTATGGGGAAGCGTGCCATAAATAATGGATCGTATAAAGCCGATTCGCTGTGTGGGACGTAGATGAAATTGCGCTTTACGTGGCGTATACGTGATATTTCATATGAATTCCATAAGTGGTAAATTTACGCTATAATTATGAGCTCAAGAAATAGTTTAACTCCATCCTTATCTAACACTTTTTTTGGAATCACATAAAATATTATTTAAACTACAATTTAATTAACTCTAAAATATTTCAAAGAAACTCTATATTTTTTTCCTTATAAAGCAAAGTCCAATGAACTCAGCCAGCTGGCTCTAAAAATAATAACAAAAACAAAACATATTTCAGGAATAATTTCTCACATTCCCATGAGCTGCACTCGGCCAGAGGCACTTTCACTTACCCCGCGTTGAGGATACAAACAAGAGGCTTTGAACCGTTGCTGCTTTGCTTTTTGTACTTTATAGCGCGATGCTCCCCTACATATAATACACTCTATATGTATGTACATACAAAGTAATTGTTGCTTTCTCTTCAACAACAAAAAAAAAAGCTAGAAAAATATATAATTTTTGTTTTTCCGTTATTATTTTCCGGCAGTGCGCGTTATCCTTGCGGCTGTGTTGGTCCGGTCCGTTCGCCTTGCCACCGACTTGTGCACTGAGCGCCAGCCACAGTCAGGCATCGGCTTTAATATAGCCAGAGCCGGCGACAGTTGGTGGTGAATTCGCTTCGCATGGCTCCTGCTACGAGCGCTGCCTGTGGGTGGGTGGTGGTGCATGGGCGCAACTTTTCCTTGCTTACTTTTCCCTCATTTCCACGTTTGGGTCAAGTTGAGATGCGACTGTCTATGTGAAGGCGCTTCATGTGAATGCTGAAATGCCGCAATAAATTCGTGATTAACGGACATTTCAATTTGAGGCGTGCATCTTTGAAGCCGTATCGATTTTCAGACAGCCCGACGAGCGGATAGACTAGTTCCCCACATACTTCGCATGGCGTTAATGCCATCGTTTGTTCTCTTTGGCCCGTTGCTTCCTGTAACGCGCCTACTTCAAGACTATCACATGCAACCTGTGCCACTTGTGGTGGCAGGTGCGAGCGTGGGTGTTGTCTTGGATTAGTTTACGCTTTGCACTTTGATGTTGCCGCTTGCCGACTATTCCAGGTATTTAGTGCACCTGAGTGGAATGTGAGAGAACGGTAATCGCAGGTGCTGAATGTAAGTAAACTTGGATTGCAATAGTTATTTCTAAATCCATTTCCAAGGGCTCTCATATATGTCATACGCAATATTGTCCCTTCCATATCCAGAGCAGCTTCAGCTAAATAAATTTCCTAGACTTTGCTTCCATTTAAGTTCTCCCTTGCTGCGTTTTTCTGCTAAATTGAACAGGTTCATGGGGGTACGTATTTGTTTTATTTTTATTTACTTCACATATTTACCTGCATCCTCTCAAGCATCTACTTGTTTCGTTTACAAAAATAAATCATGTAATTGTGTAACAAAAAAATGCAACTTGAAGCCGTCCCCAAAGCTGTTGCCGTATAGTAAATGTTGTTGCAGTTGCCGCTTCTACAGTTGTTGCTGTTGTTGTTGTTGTTGTCAGTGAAAGTGGAACTTGTGCTAACAAGCAGCAATATGTCCTCCTGCCTCTCAAGGGCCGAGAGATACATTTCGCTCGTTTACAAGTGCCGAGCGAAACGAAAGCGGTGGCTGGGGGCGAGGTGCTCGTGGAGGCCAATGTTTCATTAAGTGAAACGGCTTTTGCCACGCTCTATGCGCACCGCACATGCAAATGGCCACCTAAAGGGGGGAGGGAGGCGGGGCAACTGGATACAAGTGAGGAGTACTCGTGTGCGATTCAAGCGCACAAAGGATTTTCAAGGCATCGCAGCAATGGGAACTAGCTCATATGAATTCCAAATGAATCTCCCACTATTAATGAGGTATATTTAATTAAAAATAAATGTCATTTATATTAATTTCAATTTTGTAATCAGTTTGCACCTGCAATCCGGCTCAATTATTTCCAATTTCAATATAGTTCTTTCAGTTTTAATTAATTCCCCCACCCAGGCACAGCCCACTCACTCGCATTCGCAAGTTTAATCTCAAAATTCCATTTCGCGCACACAGAGAAATGTCAGCGCAGTGCAGTGCATTGCACTCTGCATCCTGCATCCTGCACGCCCATCATCAGCCACTGCACTCCACTCACAACTTGAACACGTTCGACGCCATTTTGGCTTCTGCCTCCCACTGTGCCAACCTGTGCTTTCATGTCAAAAGTGAGCTCTCCCACTCGCACTCGCACTCGCATTTGCTCTGGCAGCGCATTAATTTCTAAGTGCATTGACATAGAAACACGCACAGCGAACGCACAAAGGTAGGCAACCTGCAACTTGCAACGTGCAACATGCAACGTGCTACACGGAATTCAGTCAAGTAGTGCCACTTGCAACCAATAAACGACAGTTGTTGCTCTTGTTAATGAGCATCTCAATGCACATCCACCAATGTGAAAGTTTTTCATCAAACTATACAACTATTTTATATGATTTACTCATATATATTTTGTCTTGAAAATGTTCTCTTCATTAATGCGACTTGTTGCTGCCTTCAATTGAAGATTCAGTTTGATACAGCTCTCTCTCTCTCCACTCTCTCTCTCTCTCTCTCTTTGCTGACTCTCTTTAAAGCTCTGACTCTCTGTGAAGCTTTAGAGTCGTGTGCAGTGCGTTGTAATAAAAGCTCTGGCTAAAGCTCACTGTTATACAAGAAAGTTGCAAAAGCCAAATAAGCATATGACTCTCCATATAACTATTATAGCAAAGCTACTAATAACTGTCCAAAGCTACATTTGAGCTGTTCGAATATCTATAGACAATAGATAGATAGATAGTAAATGCCAGCTTAGCCTTTTAAGGCCACTTATAACAGCACTTTTTGTTTATTATAGAAATGTGAGGTATATTAAATTCTTCATAGAGAGCTTAAGCTCTAAAATCTCTATTGATTGATAATTAAAAACATTTGTTAAGCAACACATAAAAAACTTGTATAGAATACACGGTAAACGAAAGCTTAATACTTATTATTAAGCCTGTTTATCGTTTTATGTTTTGTTTTCAAAATAACTTGATTAGCCCATTAAGAGAGGAAGCAATAAATCTTAGCTAAATAGTAGAGCTCGGGCAAACCTGAATTCATTTGGGCTTATCATCGATTCCTAGATTGCTTATACCAATGCCTGGGCATATCACATTTTAGTAAACGAGTGCGACTAGTTTGTGGGGCTTCTGAAATCGAAAATCGAACATAATTTGTCTCGCATTCTGCACTTGTTTCCTTGCATTTCTCACGTGCGTCGCTCTTTAGCCCGTTGTGCAGAATGAAATGCAGAATGTAGCAGCAATCAGAGAGCTCTGAAGTCAATTGGCGATTAGCATGGGGCCCTGGCGTCGCCCATTGACTTGTTTCGCATACGCATTGACCGAGTTTTGAGCAAGCGCTAATGTAATTAGCGACATATACCACGTCGTGCTGGCCAATTGCGGGCAGTTGAACACGGCTAATTGAAGACAGCACATCGGGCAGCACAACGGCAGACCACATCAGCAATTGTGCCAAAGGATTAAACAGTCAATTGCCCAGGACATTTGGTGCCGTGTCGTGTCAACTGAAGATGTAAAGTGCTGGCCGAGCCGTTTTTGTTCCAGTTGATATTGTGTTAATTGAGAGGCAGCGTCATTATGGAAACGGACGCTGAAAAGGCGGCTGGCTCCCGCCTGGATTACGATCTGATGATGGCCGAGGAGTACATACTCAGCGATGTGGAGAAGAACTTCATTCTGGCCTGCGAGCGCGGTGATTTGCCAGGTGTCAAAAAGTTAGTATTTACATAGGAAACAAAGTCTGGCAGGTTAATCTAATGCTGCGCGTTTTACTAGAATCCTAGAGGATTACGCGGAGACTCCGTCCGACAAGTTCAACATCAACTGTACGGATCCCATGAATCGCTCCGCTCTGATATCGGCCATTGAGAATGAGAATTTCGATCTGATGGTCCTGCTGCTGGAGAACGACATTCAGGTGGGCGATGCCCTGCTGCACGCCATATCCGAGGAGTATGTGGAGGCGGTCGAGGAGCTGCTGCAGTGGGAGGAGAGCCACCACAAGGAGGGCCAGCCCTATGTGAGTTGTGTGACTTTTCTCTAATAGCCCTTGACTAACTCTCCCTCGGACCAGAGCTGGGAGTCGGTGGATCGCTCGAAGTCCACTTTCACCACGGACATAACGCCGCTGATTCTGGCTGCACATCGCAACAATTACGAGATACTCAAGATCCTGCTGGATCGAGGAGCAACGCTGCCCATGCCGCACGATGTCAAGTGAGTGCGCACTCCATCATCCACTCCAGCAGGAGGAGCTCATATTGGTATTGGTGTCGTTGCCTTTGCAGGTGCGGTTGCGATGAGTGTGTGACCTCGCAGACCACGGACTCGCTGCGTCACTCGCAGTCGCGCATCAACGCCTATCGGGCACTCTCGGCCAGCTCGCTGATAGCGCTCAGCTCACGTGATCCTGTGCTCACCGCCTTTCAGTTGTCATGGGAATTGAAGCGCTTGCAGGCCATGGAGTCGGAGTTCCGTGCGGAATATACGGTAACTGAAAGCTGAAAAGCGGATTCTTCTTAATAATAACATTTTGTTGTTGAATTTTGATCAGGAAATGCGTCAAGCGGTGCAAGACTTTGTAACGGCGCTCTTGGATCACGCGCGCACCTCCACGGAGCTGGAGGTGATGCTGAACTTCAATCACGAGCCATCTCACGAGATCTGGTTTCCCGGCCAACGCCAGACACTGGATCGCCTGAAGCTGGCCATACGCTACAAACAGAAGACGGTCAGAGATGCAGCTCATCTAACTTATGCAACGTATTCCAATTGCTGATCCCATTCCAGTTTGTGGCACATCCGAACGTTCAGCAATTGCTCGCCGCCATTTGGTATGAGGGTCTGCCTGGCTTTCGACGCAAACAAGCATCCCAGCAGCTCATTGACGTCATCAAGCTGGGCTGCAGCTTCCCCATCTACAGCTTGAAGTACATCCTGGCACCAGACTCCGAAGGTGCCAAATTCATGCGCAAGCCCTTCGTCAAGTTCATCACGCACTCCTGCTCCTACATGTTCTTCCTAAGTGAGTGCTGAATACTGTTAGTTATGTAATCTTCTTTCAATTATTTATATTTTTTGGGCATTTAGTGCTTTTGGGCGCAGCTTCGTTGCGTGTGGTACAAATTACTTTTGAGCTGTTGGCATTTCCCTGGATGTTGACCATGTTGGAGGATTGGCGGAAACACGAGCGAGGCTCGCTGCCGGGACCCATAGAGCTGGCTATTATCATGTACATTGCGGCGCTGATATTCGAGGAGCTCAAGAGCCTGTATTCCGATGGCCTGTTCGAGTACATCATGGATCTGTGGAACATTGTGGACTACATATCGAACATGTTTTATGTCACTTGGATACTTTGTAGAGCCACCGCCTGGGTGATAGTGCACGTAAGCTGGATTCTATCAAGCATGGTTGATCAATCGTCGTCATTGCGAATTGCTTTCAGCGTGATTTGTGGTTTCGTGGCATCGATCCGTACTTTCCTCGCGAGCATTGGCATCCCTTCGATCCCATGTTGCTCTCAGAGGGCGCCTTTGCTGCGGGCATGGTCTTCTCCTATTTGAAGCTGGTGCACATCTTCTCGATAAATCCGCACTTGGGGCCGCTGCAGGTGTCGCTTGGCCGCATGATTATCGATATTATCAAATTCTTCTTCATCTACACCTTGGTGCTGTTTGCCTTCGGCTGCGGTCTCAACCAGCTGCTCTGGTACTATGCGGAGCTGGAGAAGAACAAGTGCTATCACCTGCATCCCGACGTTGCTGACTTCGATGACCAGGAGAAGGCCTGCACCATCTGGCGGCGCTTTTCCAAGTGAGTCTATCCATATGAGAGGTCTACCATTCAGGCTCTGAGCTAGATTCCTTGCAGTCTGTTCGAGACCTCGCAATCGTTGTTCTGGGCATCGTTTGGCCTCGTAGATCTCGTCTCGTTCGATTTGGCTGGCATTAAGAGCTTCACGCGCTTCTGGGCGCTGCTGATGTTCGGCTCCTATTCGGTTATCAACATTATTGTGCTGCTCAACATGCTTATTGCCATGATGTCGAACTCGTATCAAATCATTTCGGAGCGTGCTGATACGGAGTGGAAGTTTGCTCGGTCGCAGCTGTGGATGAGCTACTTTGAGGACGGCGGCACCATACCTCCGCCCTTCAACTTGTGCCCCAACATGAAAATGTTGCGCAAGACACTCGGACGCAAGCGACCCTCCCGCACCAAGAGCTTCATGGTAGGTGAAACCACCCAAGTGCCAAGCCGAACCCTAACCCAGAAACTTGACAATCAAGACAAATCCTTTGGCAAATCAGTTTTAATAAAGCTCCCGTGGCGTGCCTTGCGTCAATGTAAATACGCTTAGCTGGCACTTAAGTAACTCCCCCCTCATTTCCATCCCTTCTCGTAGCGCAAGTCGATGGAGAAGGCACAGACACTGCATGACAAAGTGATGAAGCTGCTGGTGCGTCGTCATGTGACAGCCGAGCAGAGGCGTAGGGACGATTACGGCATTACCGAGGATGATATCATTGAGGTGCGCCAGGACATTAGCTCGCTGCGCTTCGAGCTGCTGGAGATTTTCACCAATAACAAATGGGATGTGCCAGACATTGAGAAAAAGACGCAAGGTAATGCCCAACTCTCGCCTCAACTTACTGCCACGACATCCACTAAACAACCTCTCCATTTACGCAGCTGCTCGTAGCACCAAGGGCAAGGTAATGGAGCGTCGCATTATGAAGGACTTCCAGATTGGCTTTGTAGAGAATCTGAAACAAGAAATGGACGATAGTGAGAACGGACGTGACATTTTCGCCTCTCTGGCCAAGGTCATAGGCAGAAAGAAGACGCAAAAGGGGTATATAGATTGCCTTGTCTATAAAGTAAGGTCTATAGCTTCATTTGAATTCCAGTGACAAGGACTGGAATGCCATTGCCAGGAAGAACACGTTTACCGCTGATCCCATTGGATCGAAACGCTCCTCGATGCAGCGCCATAGCCAGCGCAGCTTGCGGCGCAAGATCATTGAGCAAGCGAACGAGGGACTGCAGATGGACCAGACCCGGTTGATAGGTGCGTGCAGCTCCCACTTTGCTTTACCCTCACTAATAGCTCTGCTCTCACATAGAATTCAATCCCAACCTGGGCGAGGTGACACGCGCCACACGGGTGGCTTATGTGAAGTTCATGCGCAAGAAGATGGCAGCCGACGAGGTGTCCGTGGGCGAGGCAGAGGATACTGATGCTGAGAAGAAACCAGACGTCGCTGGCGTAATTATAACTGTCTTGTCTCATTGGTCCAATTGCTTTATTCATAACTTTTCAGTCCAAAAAGGCGCCTGCCGGAGGTTCATCCATGATGGCAGCTGCTGCTCTGCGTGCCTCCGTCAAGAACGTGGACGAGAAAGCCACTGCAGGGGACAAGAAAGATGACAAGGACAAGAAACCCACGAACGACAAGAAGCCTGGCGATAGTAAGCCCGATGCGAAGCCCCAAGCGCCAGCCGCTGCTGGAAAGCCCGCGCAGCCAGCCACCAAGCCGCCAACAGCAGCCAAGCCCAATGAACAGTCAAAGTCCAGCAGCGATGCAGCCAAGCCCAATGCACCGGCGCCGCCAGCTAAGCCGGCTGATGCTAAGCCTGCAGCCCCCAAGCCAAGTGAAGCCGCTAAGCCGGAAGCAGCGGCCAAGAAAGAGGAGGCAGCCAAAAGCGAGGCGGCCAAGCCACCAGCCGCAGCTGGGGCAGCTGCCAAGAGCGCAGCGCCATCAGCGCCCGCAGATGCCAAGCCGGACACCGATAAGAAATCCACAGCGACGACTGCCACACCCAGCGGCACGAAGGCAGCAAATGAGTCCAGTGGTGGAGCAACGCCGGCCGCTAAGCCGGAGGACAAGAAAGACGGACAGACCCAGAAAGCCGATGACAAGAAGGAAAAGGATGCCAGTGGCAAGCCGGGCGAGACGAAGCCCCCTGCAGCAGCTGGGGCTAAGCCAGGCGATGCCAAGCCAGATGACAAAAAGCCAGACGACAAGAAGCCAGACGATAAGAAACCTGCCACGGCGCCACTCAAGCCGGCGATCAAAGTGGGTCAAAGCAGTGCCGCAGCCGGCGGTGAGCGCGGCAAGTCCACCGTCACAGGCCGCATGATCTCCGGCTGGTTGTAAGAGAAGCCACATCAGCGTGTTTCAATAAAACTCTAGTTGGTATTTCTAGCTGATACTAAGTACTCAAAATGTGTGTAAACAAATAAACGAAACTATAAATTAAACTTAAAATTTTAAATCGGTTTTTTATACCCATGAGACGAATGAAAAATGAGAAATGAATACTCAAGTTGAAGGGGTGGCAAGTGGAAACGAGTTCGTCTATACTCTCATAGTTAGGAACGTATGATTTGATGTGTAAACTACTGCTGACCTACCTCTCGAATAAAATGATATCTTTTGGAACTATCTCCGTCTCAAACGCGTGTGAGTATTCTGCAGTCGGTAAACGCCGAGTAAATGGCGTACATCATATATGAAAATGTATTTAAGTAATATTTTTCTTGGTTTACGCAACTTATGCAGTGAAGCCAGGCATCGAACCTAAGAAATTTCTCAAACAAATAATATTCGCATATTTTGCAAGAATGAAAGTCTTATACTGAAAATATTTTAAACAGATTTGGAACATTTAAGTGCATTGTTGTACAGCAAAATAACTCATTAAAGACATTTCATGCTTCACTACTTTTATTTACTTGTAAATCTTCGCAAATCCTTTCCAGCCATTTGTTTTAGTCATTGGCATCAAGTAGTTAGCTTTGGCAACATTTCATTGCCCACAGGTGGTTGGATGCTAGACTTACACAGAGATACACCAAAACATACACACACACACACACACCTATATACATAGCAGCAAAGGCAATAGCTGCGCCACCACGGGTTGCCTTCTCAGATTGCTGCTCTGCTTTGCCATTGGTCTGCTCCCTGGCATATAAAAGGAGTCGAGTTCCGTCCAGCATCAAACATTGTGTCAGCGCCCATCAAGAAGTAAACATCTGACAAGGACACAAGTATATATATCTATAGAGGAGCCTTTTCATCTACTGAGCAATGAAGTCGTTTCTGGGACTAGTTAATATTGCCTACACAATTCTATTGCTCGTTTTGCTGACTAAATTCACAGCTGCAGGTGGGTCAAGGGCTGGCATATAAAAGTGTCTCAGCGTCAATGAGGGACCCATTAATATGGCTTATCCCCACTTGGCTGCAAGCGCAAATCCGCGCGCAATAAATCTCCGCGCAGAAGTGTAAGGACAACGCGGACAATCCTTCAGGCCATTTCAATTTGTTTCTATTAACGCCAAAGCTGAGCAGCAGACGTAACGATTTTATTTTACAAATTTCACTTATAAATTAAATTTAAATTTACAATATTTATTTTGTTTCAAATACTTTAAGATATATCGTTTGGACAGAAATACGATAGTAAGTGAAACCTCACATAGAAGAAAATATGTATCTACACAGTTTTTCATGATGTTAACAATACAAAAATATTTCCGTTATTCGATTTTCCCCAGAAGTGGAGCACGATAAGATCCGGCGAGGTGCCAACATGGGTCTCTATGCCTTCCCGCGTGTGGGACGCAGCGATCCGAGCCTGGTGAACAGCTTGCACGATGCCAGCGATGCGGCTGCCTATGAGAACATCTACGGCATGGGCGATGCCTCCGCCGAAGATTTCGAAGGTGCGTATTACTAATTTCCATTTTGAATAGCAACTCTAAACCAACGAAAATCCTCAGATTACCAAAAGCGACCCGGTTTGGTGGCCTTTCCTCGCATGGGACGTAGCGAATCCGAGCTGAGAAAGTGGGCCCACTTGCTGGCCTTGCAGCAGGCGCTGGACAAGCGCACTGGACCCAGCGCCTCGTCTGGCTTGTGGTTCGGACCACGCCTGGGCAAGCGTAGCATCAATGAAAAGGACTACCCCGCCGCCGGCAAGGGCCAAAAGGAAATGTACTAAACGACACGAAAGCTAAACGCCTCCGAAGGAAACAACAATTCTCACTTGAACACACTAATTTGCCAACAATTTATAATTTACGCAATTAATTAGCTTATAATTAAAGCTCCAATGAGATCGACAAAACAACGGCATATTCTAATGGGTATATAACAAACGAGTAAACATAACACGAACTAACAACGGGCTGGTGAGGGCATGCAAATTCGGTAAAATTAATTTCAATTTTATTTACAAGATTCCGAAATGCATTCACGTATGTAAATAGTATATGTATGTGTCTAAAGATCGAAATTAATATAAAATAAATAAATATCTGAGAAGCAGTATGAAATATATGAGTATTTACTTTCAGGAAGGGAGATTTATTTTATGTCTTATCAATATTCATTTATTATAGCATACCCCAATTTACCCAATGAAAACTTCAGTTTTAGTGGAAATTTTATTATCATGAAATTGAAAAAAAGAGTATGTATATCAGCGTGTTGTATTATTCAATAAAAAATCTGGTCGTATCTATAAGGATAGCTCCAACTAATCGAATTTGTCAAGTTTCTCATTTCCATCAATCCTTTTGCTGCTTGAACTTGCGCAGTTCGCTCTGAATGGCCTCGATAAGCGGCGCAGCCGAGGCCGACTGTGCACTCGCCTTACGTCCGGGCGTATTTGCCGTGGAGCTGGCGCTGACGAGCGCACCGCGCGAAATCTCTAAAATGGTATCCGGCCGCTGGAAGGGACCAGCGCTTAGGGGACGCACCAGCGGCGAGTGGGAGCCGTTGAGACTGCTGCCCCAAGCGCTGTAAGTGGGCGACGGCGGCTGCGTGGACTGCGCTGACTTTGGCGTCTTCTCCGGCTGTGCGGTGGCTGGCCGCTCGGCAGTGCTGTAGGCCTTCGGGGGAAAGCTGCAAGTGAGGGGAGCAGTGGGTAAACAGTTGCCTGATCGAGGGCACTGTCACGTACCTGGGTAAGCCGGCAGAGGAGCCGCGATGCTCGCGCTTTGTGGTGCGTCGCTTGTTCGTGAAATCGCGCGAGGGCAACGGCATGGGCAGATCATCCTGGCTGGCGTACATCTGCATGGCTCCCTCGAGCAGGCCCTCGTAGTGGTTGCGTATGGCGGATGCATCGTGCATGGGACTGGGGCTAAAGTCAGCATAGCTCCGGGCCTCTGCGGAAGATGTGTGGAGGAAGTTCAGTTGATTTCAGTTGAGTTCAGTGGGGATTCGGTTGGATTGCAAGTGGGTTATTTGGTTTAATGGTCTCTAAACTGGGTTAACTAATTACAGTTGTGTGCAGGCAATATCAACAACAACTAGGACTACAGTTGCCCGTTAGTAACGTGTCTGTGCCCCAATTTGCACATCATTATCATCATCATCATCATTATGAGCATGATCATGGTGTCCACCCGCCTCACCCTGGTTGTCAGCGCTGTTGAGGCGCTTCTTGTGCCGCTCCCAGACGACGGGGCCCACAAAGCCCGGATCAGGATTGTCGCTGTGCGAAGCGGAACGCACATTCCGCACCGGAGGCGGCGCCTTCGGACTGGGAAAACTGGCAATGGTCGCGATGGTGCTATCCCTGCTCCCTAGGGATTTGTGCGATTTGAGGGATCTGTTGGAGTTTTGCGGCGCTGTGGCTTGAGGTGCCACTGCGTTCACATTGTCATAGTAGGTAACGAAAACTGGATCCAAGACGCGATTCAGTGGCTCGGGCAGCGTGCTCTTTGGAAAGGCGCGCACCGAGGCCATGGACAGAAAGGAACCCACACTGGCCGTGTCCGACGACTTCTCCGAGGGCTGTGCGCCGCGCGAACGTATCATCTCCCTGTTGATGGCCTGCGGGGAGCCCACGGCGCCCTCCTCCGGCAACTCCTTATCCGAGAATATCGTTTGCTGCTGCTGCAGCAGCTTGTTGCGATGGTAGTTGTTGTGTGGATTGTAGGCCTCGTTGCGCTGGAAGTTCTCGTAGTTGCGACGCATTGCGGCCGGAGAGTTACCCTCCTCGGTTGAGGAGTTACTTTGAGCCAGGGAGCCCTGCACTGGGCTGGTTTCCAGTGAGCCGACGCGATTCTCGTTGAGGTAGCGGCGCTTCGACTTGTGCCGCGACTTCTCGCTCTTCTTCTCCGACACTACCGAGGCGTATATAGTATCTTCCAGGCCGTCCTCCGCTCGATCGTACTGATGCCGTCGGCGCTTGTGGCCGTCAAACAGTCGCGCCGCCTTGTCATCCAATATGCGCTGCACATCAGCACTGGGCGGATTGATGGGGCAATAGACCGAGGAGTCCGATGTGTTGTCCGTGGATGAGATGGAATCGTGGCGGGCTCGCGTGTGAGTTTCGGCTGGAGGTGCTGGGAAACTGATGCGTGGCTCCCGCTCATACGAAAAGTTCTGCACGCCCACATCCCGAGAGCGCACGGTGCTCTGCTCAGCATTGGCAGCTGACCCACCGGCAGCGCTGTCCAGCAATGTGCCACGCGAGCTGGGCCGCATGGACTGACCCTCCGACAAGAGCTCGTTGCGCGAAGTTGTTCTGCGAGTAGAGGAAACAGATTAGACTTGGATCTCTATGTGATTTGAGGTTCTGCAACCACCTGTTGACCGCACTTAGCTCCCGCTGACGAGCGCGCGTGCGTCCCAGCAGCAGTATGGCCACCAGCAGCAGCATGAGCAGCAGAATGGCCAGCGAGCTGATGACCACCAGAGCCACGTTGTTTTTCACCGAGTTGAAGAAGCCCGCCTGACCGCTGCGCGGCACAGGTGCCAAGGCTGTGGCCGTGGGTTCTCTGATGTAAGCTGCGAACGGAAAGGGGTTTACAGGGGATACAAGGGCATTTTATTCTCATTCACATGCTTACGTTCAGACTTCATGTAGACGGCCTTGCCCAGGGTCTTAGCCGCCTCGGCCTCACTAACCAGCTCCATGTCCTTGGCCGCCGTTGTGGCCAGAACGGGACGCCCGTTCACTAGGACCGTATAGATGAGCTCCGTTTGATTGGCAACGGGTCGTTCATTGCTGCAAGCATTAAGGGTGCGATATGAGCATAATCAAGTATAGCTAGTTGAGTCAATATATGCGAGTCCTACAGTTTGAGGTTAACATACGCATCAGAGTCAGCGACATCGTTAGCCGAGCTGTTCCACTTTTGCAACTCCGCCTCACTGATTTGCGTGATGTTGTGTATGACGACCCGCACTCGCTCCTGGCTGTAAATAGGTTGCGGTTGCGGTGGCGGTTGCTCCTGTTGTTGACTCAA